AAGAACACATACAAGGGAGGAGAACAAAAAACAAAAAGAAACAACCTACCCCCTGTAATTCAAAGGTGATTGTACAGCGATAATGTAAAGATAACTGCCTTGGCCTATGACACATCTGAACTCTCAATATTAAATGTTGGTTTATTGAGTCAGTGACCTTTTAGAGTGACCTTTGTAAGAGTCAGTGACCCTTCACCTCCACGTGCAGACTCCCTCATCAATGGTTTTTGTTTAAAATAACTATTCTTGCTGAATAAGAATTTTCTTCTCAATGTACAATTTTCAGACCACTCCTCTACAACATTCTGTCACCACATAATCCACCTGTAAGGAATTAATCACTAAACAGAAGGGTAGTTCAGGTAGAGATCAAAAAGCCAGGACTGCTGGGCTTCTATCCCCCACTTTGTAACCAATTTTTAATATGCTCTTCAGTAAACACAATCTCACTGTGAAGGTGTATGCATCTATAAAAATCAAGATATATTATGCTGTACCAACCTACAGAGGTAATTGCAAGTTTAAATGTTCAGAAAAATTGTGAAATTGTCAGAGGAAAGACAATGTGCCATTGACTTAAAAGATTTTTAAAACAAAATATTGAACTGTCTGATGAGTCTTAGTTGTTCACAGATCATTGTTTAAAATTAAGTTTCAATATTTTGCCCATTTTCTCTCATTTCTAGCACCAAAATCACTTTAGTATTTCCATTTCTTACACAATATTTCCTATGCACTGCACAGATAAGCAGACCAGGTTTATATAGACAAATGGATTAGTATTAAAGACTAGACTAAGACTACTTCCTAATTTCACAGCAAACAAAGGAGAAAAAACCAACTAAGAACCAATAAACAAAACAACACACACAGTAACAGCAAGTTTCCTTCATTAACAGAGAAAAAATTATTCATAACAACTGAAGAGGAGATACTAAAAATGTCCTAAGTAAGCCACTTTTCAGAAGTCCATTTCATATAAGCAGTATTACTACTGATGCAGAGTACTTAGTCTGCAAATACGGCAATCCTTATTTAACAAAAATCTGGGCCTCGGATAATTCTAAGGATCAAATTTAATGCATGTGTAGCTGGGATTTACAAGTGCGTCATTTTGTAATTTCTCTTTGAAGATGAGTCTTACACATCTTAAGTTGCCAAGTTTCGCATATTTCACATCTTATGAACTTAGTTTGGTTGGGAAAAAAAAAAATGAAGTAATGCTCTGTGCACTCAAAAGGATTATATTTTGGCATAACTAAAGTGAACAGCAGCTAGCAATCTTCTAAAGCATTTCACACTGAAAAGTTCATCTGACCTCACAAAAATGAACTTATATGCAAAATTCATTGCTAGGAGGCCCAGAGAGAAGTACTGAAAAATTAGAGTCCTTCAACATATAACAGCATAATTCCCTGTAACTTTTAAAAAAATCTGATATACATGAGTGCTTTAAATAAATGAGCTTAATGTATTGCTAAGGAGTAGTAACACAGCTCCAGAAGTGATCAACATCAGTAAAAGATAAATATACAAATAAGTCATGTCTCAATTGATCTCTATTTCTCTCAACTGCTAAATTTCACCATTCTCACAGCATCAGTGACCAAGAGAGTAAAACTGTCACAATGTGCAGAAACTTTTATCCAAACTAAGAGATTGTGCTTTGATGTAGAATTCTTTATATATGCCAACTACACTTGAATCAAGAACCACTCCAAACAAACTAAAAGTGTAAGGTTACAAAATTCACATCAGTTCCTAGAGTTCAGAAAGTCAGCAAGAATTCCTTAGGTGACAACAGGAGAAAAAGAGTTGGAACTCATTTTGAAATCTATGCTCCATATACCTTCTGAATTACTTTATTTTTTACATATAAAATACGATATTGCCATAAAAAAATCATGATCAGGACAACAGCTGTTCACTAAGCATAGTATAAAACAGGGCTAACAACTCCCAAGAACCATGAGATCCAGAAAATAGGAGAAGGGATAGTAATGCTCCACTCCGTGGTAGACATGATAATGTCTTCTATGTAAGCGACAGCTGTTTGGAAAGCGGAGCATAACTCCATAAGAAAGATGAAGGCAAGAAAAAAAGACAGCTAAGCCAAGTGGTAGAACCTCAGCAATCCTCTTGTTGCTCACGGAGAAATGTTGCTGGTCAGTAGACATATCACAGCTGAAGCCTCAGCTCTGAAACTGCTAAGTAAGCAAGCACTTCCTATTTTTAGCAAAAAGGCAAGAAGTTAAAAAAAAAAAAAAAAAGCCACCACAAAAGAAACAACAGCAGCCAAAACAGCAACCAAAAATAACACTATAAAAAACCTGACAGCTTGGTTTCTTCAACACAGCAAAGTTTCAGAGAATCACACTCATGGAATATCATGACTGCAAGGGACTCACAGGGATCATTGAAGTTCAACTTGTGGCCCTGCACAGGACAGTTGCAAGAATAACACCACAGGCCTGAAAGGATTATCCAAATGTTTCTTGAACTCTGTCAGGCTCGGTGCTGTGACCACTTTCCTGGGGAGCCTGTTCCAGTACCCTCCTGGCTGCCAGGGCACTGCTCACTCATCTTCAACTTGCCATCCACCAGGACCCTCAGGTCCCTTTCCATGGCACTGCTCTCCAGCATCTTATTCTCCAGTCTATATGTACATCTGGGGTTGCCCCATCCCAGGGTGAATTTTTCACTCCCCAAAATTCTGCATCATTTAAAGATTTTTGATATCGCAGATAAGCAGCATTTTACTAAAGGAGAATCTCATGAAATGTTTTTAACCACTCTGAATCAAGACAGGGGGAACAAAAATGGAAATAGAGATTAGAAAGTACTTTTTGACAGTTATATCAAAAACTAAAGCAGGAAAATGTGAATGATGAATGCTTAAAAGGAAATGCTAACATGATATTGGCAACAACTTCTTACGGCACATTTTTAGCTATGGAATGAGTTTTTTAAAATACTCAAGAAAACTGATTATTTCTGTCAATAAAAGTGCTATTATTCTTAGAATTTATAGTCACCGCACTGCCTATGAAAACCCATTAATTATACAAGTCTCCTGAGTGTCTTTAGCTTCTAACTTTGTACTATGTTTTAGCCATGTTCCATGCAATTTAAGAAAAAAAATCCTTCTTAAAATAATTTTATATCTCCTTCTCCTACCTCAAAGAAAAAAAAAATAGTTATATGTACTTCAAAAGAACTTACCAAAAATAACTGTCAGCATATTTCTCCAAAGAGAGAGCACTTTTGCATATAATAACTTTTTAATATCATGTTTTATAGAGTAAATGGAAAGTAATTAGTGTTTTCACCACAGGAGACAACATATACTAAGTACCGTACTTTGATTTCCTCTGTTGAGATCCACTACATAGCTCAATAGTGAACCATATGCAAAAAATCATAATTAAGTTTATTACAAACATGTAACACTGCAAAGTCTTCAGCAGTCTGATCACAGGATTTTACTTTCAAGGTTATTTACTATATTTATATATAATCAGGAGGGTTTCGTAAAATTGCAAATATATTCTCACCCGCTCAACTGAACCATGGATCTTTATGAAGTTCTTCCATAGCATTATTGCAGTTATGTAAGTTACATAGTCTAAAGTATAAAATAAAGACTCAGATGGGACCATCACCTACCACACAATATGCTTTTAAAGACTTCGACAAAATGAGCTGACATTTTATCCACACATTTTAAAAGGAAGAAATCAGGACGCATTTAAGACAATCTTTTTGACCACTGGGTGCCACTCTTGTTCTGTGTACAATAAACTGCCTGACAGTAAGTCACTCTTCTCAGTCTTTTAACTTCCTCAGCTTTAAACAACTCTAATTCTCCTAAACTGAGAGGAAAAATGGAAGAATTTTTACAAAAATTTCTATTAAACATTACTTTTCAAAAGCCTTTACTATTGCTTTTAGCCCCAGGAACGCAATTTTGAAAGAAGTATAGTACACACAGACCCTTATGGTATATGAATTTCTTTCATGGTGGGATTATAGAATAACTCAGTTATGTTACATCTAAATAACAATCACGTTCAAAGGAATAGATGTATCTACTGCAACTGTGTAGCCCTGTATTGATATTGTTACTAACAGCTTCATATTCATAGTTTGCAACATCACAACACTAAGGCCTTGAACAAGCTTGTCAGGCTTGCTCTGTCTGAGTTTTTCCTGACCTGCCTGGAGTTGTTTTTTTAACTTGCTGCAGGTTTAATAGTAATATTTCTAACTGACCGGGTGTCTATAGCTAACCTGGTTTATTTTAGTTGAATTTTGTATGGTACAACCATAGTTTTTAATACACAGCAGTAAAACAGAGTTATTCTATGATATTTATGACTAACACCATAATGCAATATATACAAATACAGGTCTAGTATAATACACATCTTGAGAAGTGGAAACGCAGGATGTGGCATATAAAAGCACAGCTATGAGATAACATTCTTAGATTAGACTGTTAATATTTCAGGTATACTAGGAATTTTAAGGTGGGTTTCATCCTTTTCCATAAATTTTGTGTAACATTATCCTGTGCACTTTATTTGCTAACTCAAATAATCCCATATCAAACATCATTCCACTGTATTGTGGCCCCAAGATACTGCAATCACAGAATCAAATAACAGACCTAAGAATTCCCTGAAGTCATCCGAAGACTCTGACTGACCAGAGAGATGTATTAAGTTACTTACAGGCCCCAGGTTACCATCCTAAACATGTTATCATTATGCCTCCTATCCTTACTAAACACATACTAGAGACTTTCATGCCATACCATTTATTTTATTCTATTTCAAACAATACAACTAAAAACCACTGTCCACTATTGTCTTTTACGTCGGCAGATGTCCTTTCCCTGTCACTGCACTGCTCTGCTCTACCAACTGTTTGGATAACGAAGTAAAATACCCTAAATATTTCCAGCTTATGCATGGCACTACCATAGTTTTATAAAGTACCTGTATTCAGGCTGCCGACTTGTCGGATGATCATCCCTTGCCCATCTGTATCCTGATTCATCCTGCAAAACATACATGCAAAACAACTGTGTGACATGTATCTCAACATCAGATGTCAGGTACAGTTAGTTGCCACCTAGCTACTTATTGCAAAACCAAAACATTTAATGAGTTAAAAAAAACAGCATTAATCTCTCACACCAAGTATTCTCTCAATTTATTCACTGTACCCCATTTTTTTCCTCTATCAATACTGAAGAGAACAACTTTGCAGTGCTGTAGAAAACACAAAAACTACAAAAGTTTCTGAAATAAATACAGATGCTTTGACTTGAAAAAAATTTCCTCTTTGAAATACAAATTACCATCAATAGCTTGAAGTTACAGAATTTCAAACAGCTAGATGGCAGGAGGCAGCAATAATAACTTTTACAAGAGACCATAGATTTTGTACTTATGTGCAGCTACTGGAAAAAAAATACATTCATCATCACAACAGAGTTGAACTAAGTGAACAACTGGGTAAACTAGAAGGGTATGTAGATAACATTCATCAACTTGCATGTGCAAGGACTTAAACAGAAAGATTCTGCAATCATTCTTCCATTCATCCAGGTAACTTTGCACTGCATTACAGAGAGTGCTTCTGGCCATTTTTGTTTTCCCAGTTCACACTCTGGGCTTTCACATCCAAAACCTGGATTTTTTTTCTATTAATTCTATTTCAGTTTGTGATAATAGCAGTAGCACCAGCACTCTGTCTGAAACAGTATTCTAATTGTTTAGTATTCAAGCATTAATGAAAAAATAATTATCATAAACGGGTGAGAAGAATCACCTTACGTACACCTCGGTGTGGAGGGCCACTTCTTCGGTCATGGGCAAAACTACGACCCTCTTCATAGTCTCTGTACTCAGCATGACTGTAATCATCATACCGACTGTAATTCCCATCCCCAGGTCTCTCAAGCAGTGGTGGCTTCTTGGGTAAAACATTTACTATTCTATGGTAATCTCCCTAAACCACAAAACAAACAAAATCACATTGCTTTTAACAGCCGAAAATCTGTAGTGAATAAACAAAACTAAAAATAAATTATTTCTAAATATGGGACTTAAATAATCCTAAAAAAAGAAATTGCACAGGAAACCAATAAACATTAAAAATCATGCCACTCTGATGGTGTAATAACTTAATAAATCTAATTGGACGACCTCTCAGATTGAATCCTTAGACATTACAAGTTTAATTACAGTGAGAAAATTTTCAACAGCATTAGCTACTTTCTAACCATCAGCTACATGTATTTCTCAGAGACTTATATATTAATTTTGGAAACCAACAAGAAAGTTACATCTGTAATGCCTGTAAAACAAAGACCACATTTAAAAATATAAACAATTTACTTAATGTCCACAACATCCCCCCCACACACAGCAGAGATTATAATTAAGATAATCCTTGCTTCATAATCTGAATAGATAAGCACCCACTCAATACAATGCAGTAGGTGATGTGAGTGTTCAAGTGACAGAGTTTTAACACTCTCATTTTTAATTTTAATGCAAGTTTCAGACAGCTTTTTGCGTGAACACAAAATTAATTTACTGTATTTCCTTCAAATAAATAACAAGTCATACACCATATGCCAATTAAAGAAACCCTTTGTTTATTAAGCAAAAATTGCCCAGCTGTAAAAGATGCAAATTCAATTTTCTGGAACCACGTTTTACGTAAGTCAATTGCAAATAAAAAGCAAATGAAAACATGAATGAAAGATTTTGTATTTTAAGTCTTCTTCCTTTAGCAAAATACATTTTCTTTGGGCCTTAAACCAAAAGCTAGAAATGCAGAGACTTGAGTTAGCATGTCCAATTTGGAGGGGGAAAAACATATCCAAACTATTTTTTGAATAGTAAGCACAAGTCACAACCTGATGAACCAAGAGTTTCTGTAGAAAAACACACAAAAATTACACTCACAAACTGCTAAATATTGTCAAGCAAAACTTTAGTTCTGACTTCAGAGACCACTCAACAAATGGACTACAGGGCAATCCAAAGCCAGCCTACAGCCATACTGATGCAAAGCGGAGACTTCACACGCAGTCATACAAAGGCACAATGCTTGATCTACTCTCACCTCATTGAACGTACTACATATGTAATTCTTTTTTTTAATCTGGTGTCTTATAAAGATGTGCTCTGCAGCTAAAATAAAACTGCTTCATGCTTTAGCCTCACCCAGAAGACCCCACTACATAACTATATTGACACACAGAAGGACAGTTACATGAAAGCTCAAGGTGTAGCTGGTTACAGATACAAGTTACTGTGACAAGTACATGCAACTTTATGTTTTTTACCAGGATCTGAAAACATATGTTTCTGCTACAATCTATACTTGATATACAATTAGCACCCAGTTTAGATTAGGACAGGTCTCTTGCTCTCTCAAACAAAACATACTTCATTCTGTATCATTGGCACATAGCAGTTCCAACGTACTAACCTACCAGCAAGTGCTAAGCGCATTCACAGATAGAATAAATTAATTCCATTTCACTTGCCTAGTCAAAATTAAGTCAGACGTCTACACACAGACACAGATACAATTGCACAGGTTTGCAAGGACAGAAACTGCCTTCCAACAGTCTTGAATCTGCAGAGTTCTGTGAGAAGGAACTTCATCTTTCAGTATGGTAGAGAGACACCACATCTTGGTTTGCCCAGCTACTGGGGTGTCATTTTGGTAGAGATGGACAGTATTAATTGTGGTGAGTGTATTCTGCTAGTCCCTTCATTCCCAGTTCCAAACACATGTAATATAAAGCTAGCTTTGAACTACCTAGTTCTTGCACCAAACTGAATGCATCACATCTTTTAAACTGTAAAGTAAATTTTCATAATGCATATGTCATGATTTGTTCTCAGAACAGCCTGAAAGACTACCAGGATTTAGAAATGTTATTGATGCAATGGTAAAATTAAATCAGCAACATGTTAGTCAAGTCAAAGTATTAAAAAAGAAAAATCTGTGAAAATACTTTCTGCCTTTCCTCCTGTCCTACTGTTGATAAGTATTTTGGAGGAGGTAGCTAAATACCCTGTCCAAATGAATCTGATTTCCAGGTTGCTGAAAACACCAAAATTTTGTTGTTCCCTGTAAAGAGTTAAAAATGTCACAGAGCAGCCAAAGACTAATATACTACTCAATAGAGAAGCCTATGTAACTGGTTACCAAGTTACTGACATTGGTATGCTTCCAAAATCATGAGCTGAAAGTGTAACAAAGGGAACCCAGAAGGTATGCTAAATCAGCTATGCTGTTACTTCACCACTGAAGATAATTAAAAGGAATGTCAGATAACAGGCACTGTTATATGAAATTTTTTTTCTGCTTAAAGCACATTGCACAGCATGTAAATATAAATATAAAACAGTATTCTTAAAGTTCTATTTAAGGTATAATGCCTCAAAAGACAAAGCTGCAACTTGTTTAATTTCTTTGTTAGAGAATTCAGACAAAGGAGAAGAAAAATTACCCAACTCTTTGGCACAGAAATTTTCTAAAAGCATTCTGAAGTTATTCTACAGCAGAGCAAGCATAGCTTCTGTGTTTGCTTTTACAAGCACAACATACATACATAACATACCATGGAAGACTCCATGACTACAAAGTAGATTTCCATTGACACTTCTTGAAAAGCATTTCCCTTATAAGGTTTCAAAGCACAGTTTCTTTAGCAAAGACGTATTTTCAACATTTGTTATAAACACTTCCTCCTATACTTTAAGCATCAACATAAAAAACTGTATTGTGACAAGAACTATTTTGAAAGTAGTTACTTTACCACCTCAAATTACTTAAAAGAATCACAGATCACAGAATATGCTGAGTTGGAAGGGATCCACAAGGATCATCAAGTCCAACTCTTAGCCCTGCACAGGATCATCCCCAAGAGTCACACCATGTGCCTGAGAGTATCGTCCATACTATTAACATAGAAAGAAAAGACTGTGGAAAAATACAACACAGTATGGCCTTTTGTTCTTTAGTAGTTATTAAAAATCCTGTGTTTAATAACACAAATAATTACATTAAAAAAAAATTATCAAAATACAAATATTCTGAAACAGTTCCAATAGATTTGAAATGAAGAAAAAAGTACCCAAGACTTAATTTTGTAGGCATCTCATGATTTCTGTGCAGATGCATTTGCTAGATTCAAAGAATGAGAAAAGAAAAGAACTTGGGGTATATTAGGAACTTATATAGGTAAATAAATCCAGCCCTTACAGTACAAGTCATTGTATAAAGGTAAAGTACAACACTATAATGCTACAGAAACTTACTATACACTTACATCACCATGAATCCTTGGAGGGAGACGATCTCTTGGAACTCTCTCATAGTCATATCGCCCTTCAGACCACATTTCATCTCTTCGATACGCCACTAAAGACAATAAAAATACAATTAGTGAAAGCCAATTTGTTATGAATAGACAAAAGGATAGTGAGCATAGAAATAAAGGTTCACGGACTTCTCTCAATATTATGTATTATGCACAAGACCTATACATACACTTCCTATTGTTAGCCCTTTAAAATAAGTATTTCTAGTTATACTAGAAATTGCTATAGAAAGTAATTAATGTACTTCAAGTAAAAATAACTCACAATATGTGCAAGAACAACTGAACAACTGGAAATTAGTGTAGCATAATCAGCAAAATTACAGGACTTATAGATACTATAAACAGCTGTATTGAAATATATGTATACTGCAAATACTAGCTGTACATATAAGTGCATACATGTACAGCAATTTTGATACTGCTCTGCTAAAAAATATTGGACTTTAAAAAATGTTTCAACTATTTATTAAATAACTTCTGATTTTTAATAGAACTTTTAATTATTTCATTAACTCAACTATCGAGCAGTCAAAACACAGCACATCATTCCCTTTGATTACATGAATAAAACACATTCTTCATATCCAGATACTTCCTGTTTTAAATTGGAAGCCAGCAGAACACAAAAATTCCTCTTTCCAAAGAAGGGCAGCTTTCGAAGTCAAAATTAGTCTTTAATGACAGATAGAATAAACCATGACCCTAAGAGATTCTAGTCATGCTATGTTGGGCAATACACACTTGAGGAATTCAAACAACTGCTAGAATTATATTTTTCTAAGCTTCCCTTCACAATGGTAGCTCTGCTATTAAAAACAGTCAATAAGGAAAAGTAACAGCAAGTCATATTCAGAAGAAGAAATACATAACATTACCTACTTGCACCAAATAAAAACATTTTATTGGAAAAATAGACTTATGAGGCTATATAGAAATATTAATACAGATGTTAAGAATCAACATGACAAAGGGATTAATAACTGTAAACAGAGGTAGCACTAAGTCAGACGTAAACCACTGCAAAAAATAACAAACACTGACATACTCACTTTTCTGCCAGTTTTAGCAACTCTGCTCCTGAAGACCCATTCACCTTCCTACAAAAAAAGAGACTGAAGTTAGCAAAAAAGTGCATATATATTCATCCTAAATAGATTTTTTTTTTAAGTAAAAGACAGGTAAAACCTAAATGTTTTACCCCAGTGATCTGTCTGAACTAGTACAGTTCCTTACTACACTCAATTAAGAAAGAATATTAATTACTCAGCTAAATTCACAGTATCAAAAAACTTTATGTGACAAATAATTACAGATAAAACATCTTCCTAATAAATTCCAGAATTTTCTTTCCCTTTTGTCATCTTTTACTCGCTATCTCAAATCTCAGTTTTTCTTCCATTCATTAGCAGAAGCTTTTGGAAACTGCTTTCTTAAAAGCACTTAAAAATTATTTAACATATTCATTTAATGTGTATTTATTTAACTGTCTTTAAATATCATTAAGTAAAGAAAAATAAAACTTCATTTGCACATAATGAGAGGTTACAATTTAAGAAAGGCTTTTTCTCTGACAATACACAGTAAATCCTGACAAAACAGCTCTTTTCCTCAACTGTAAGAAGCATTTATATTCAGAGATTTTTACCCTACCATTGGTTCAAATGAACCAGAGTACCTTATTAAAATATTGTTCCATTTTATAAAAGACTTGACCTTAAGTTTGTTTGATAACCAAGACACAAGACTAGTCTGATGTAGTCACAGATTATAAATCAAAAGCTGACTGAGCCAACCAGCTGATCCTGGTTTTAGTAAGGGCAAAAGCTAGAGGATCTGCTGTCCCTGCCCTCTAAGAGACAGAAGAGTTACTAATTCTGAAGCTACTTTTCATCTTGCTGTATTGGATGGTCAGATGTATCATCAGAAGCACCTTCCTGGCACTTTCACAGTAACTGTCTCAACTTTTCTTTATTCTCTACTCAGGGACTTTTGCTAAAGCCTTAAAAATTCACAGCAGGGGTTACATGTACATTAACAGTTCCTTGGCCAACTCCCTGCCCTCCTTCCCACGTTACAGAGAGGGTGCTCCATCTGCTCTCACACTGCCCCCAGAGTCCTCTTTTCTTTGTGCCTAGAACAGAACCTGAATACCCCTCTGTTTTTACATACTGTAAGAGAGAGAAGTAGATTAAGCAAGACATGAAGCATTACACAGTCTTCCTCAATTCACTTCACTGCTGGCCCCTCATGACCAACCCTTGCCCCAGGTTGGATCATTCCTTCTGCCAGACCTGCCCACAACTGGGGAGCATCTGAGCCACCCACAGCGCCCACTCCCACACCTGCTTGTCCACAGCTCACCCACCCACCTCTCACATGTGCAGAGATTTAGGTACTTGACAGCAAGCCTCAGTTTTTTAGACCTACAGCAAATACCAGAAAAGCTGGATTCAAATAATGTTTTCATGTGGGCTTTTTTTTTTTCCATTTTGACAAATACAGTAGTGTCCCTGCCCTGGTGTCTGCAGCTGTTATGAAACTGTTAACTGAACACAACATTCAAAAAGCAACACATTTCAGATAAGTGCCACTGAAGATGAGTGCAAACTTATACATTGTGCTGCTCTGTCAGTCAAACCACCTCCAGCATCCCAACATACATCACTGGCAGCAGGCACCACCACCCATATACAAGCTCCATTATATTATCAGGCAGCCAGGCTGATAAAAACCCTCCCTTTTTTATCACTGTTGCACCTCACTGAAACCAGCAAGCATTATCACCAGTATTCTGACAAAGCAAAACTCAAGCTGGAAAGAAGGCAGAGATACACTATCACAAAAGTCAATAGATGGACATAAAAAAAATATACACCAGAAAAAAAGCAACTATGGAGGTGGGGAAAAAAATCTCATTCATATTTAGAGGAATTAAATGAAGGAAGGTAATCAGACAGAATCAACCACCAGGTACGTTGCTCAAAATATTGGTAAGGTGAACAAGTAGAAGACTAATTTTATAAAGAAGACTAAACAGACAAATTTTAGCTGAGACTAATGAGATAAAGCTAGGATGTATTTGAAAATAGCAGAAGAAAAAAGGATGTTTAAAGGGAGAAAAATGCATTTCCCAGCATTTTGAGCACATTTTATCTGTTTCCATAGAAAAAGAAAAAAATCCATTGCTTAACACGGCTTTAATAAGAACCATGAAGAATATAAATTCTTAAAGTCAATATGAGAATATTCCATTAACAAAGATTCAAGAGATCAAATCTCAAGTTTATTATGCTGTATATAGATTCATCGGTTCTCTCAATAAGTACAAAGGTGTTGTAAAACAAATAAAAAAAAATCTGTTTCTGTTTCACAGCTATCAACATTGCCACTCACTATTTTCTATTAGCGTGTCCAGTAAAAGTAATTGATATGTCTTTAACACAATGACACATAGCCACTTGCTATATTATTTTAAACAATCTCTTCCTAATTTTGATCAGAGGTGACTGTTTTACCTAAAGCAAGGTCTTTATTTTCTCAGATAAGTACATTCTGTGAACACAGAAGCCATTCTATTAATGCAACACAAGCTGCTCTACTGCGATTATCACAGCCCTTTGTCTGTATGGATATATGTATCATTCATGATGCAGTGAGGGCTACTTCATCAAGTAGATTACATAGGTCACTTCAGATTTTTTTGCACATCTGGGTTTTCTTTATCAATTACTATTTTTTATTCTTTTTTACTTTTTAAATAATATGTGCTAAAAATCCTTGATGTATTTGCAAAAGCACTCTAGTATTCTGAAATATTTTGTACACAATTCTTGTCTGTTTACACTTACTTGAGACATCACTCGTCAGCAAGGCTAGAAATACCTACTTCTCCAGGATTCACAATTTTCTAGTGTGTGTTATCATCCTTCTACAGAATCTACACTTTTGTTTCCAAAACATACAGCTCCCTAATCCAGGTGGCTACATCTTGCCTTATGTGAACAAAGCATAAAACCAATGCTGTGCCATAAACCCCGAGACAGGCAGCTGCAATGTCTCCCATGCCACAGGGATATACCTGGGTTCATAATATTACTCTGACAAACAGCAGATTGAGAAATGTGGACCAGTTCTGTCTCTCCTCTGCTTTGGAAAGCTCTCAAAAACTTCCTCAACCTCTTGTCATATCTGGGACAGGCAGAAAACACTGAATAGACACAGTTGTACTTGTAAGATGAAAAGCAGAAGTGTAAGAGTAGAGGAGAAAAATCCAACACCTCAGGAAACAAAATAATATGAAGAGGGCATGAAGAAAAAACAGAGATTCAAAGACAGTCCACCTCTCTCTAATGGCAAATATTAGGCTGTAAGACTTTCAAAAGCAAACAGAAGTATGACTGCAACAAGTCTAGGCATATTCATGTAGATACCAAATCACCTGAGAGAAGCAGCTTTCTTCCAATCTTTCCCAAAGTGTTCACAATCACTTCGACTTAAAACAAGAAAAAAACCCAAAATTTATTTTAAAAAGTCACTGACCACAAAAGTCAAATTAACTCACATCTCAAAAGGAAAAATAGCCAGACATGCGTAAACTGAATAAAATTGTTAAGAGCAGCAGCATTCCAATGAGGATTTACAATCCCATCAATTCTATTTTCTTACCACATCATTCCAATACGTCACTGGGAGTAAGAGAAATGGAGACAACGCATTGGGGGTCATATTAATACAGCGACTGATGTATTAGCACTTTTCTTTGCCTGACCACCTGCAGTTACCAACCTGTCCTTCACCAGTGCCAGTGCCACAAAAAGGATATTCTACCAGGCTGCGATGAGGCTGCTGCGCCCGCACCATCAATGCAAACAAGTGCACGGACCTCCGCCTCCTCCGTGGCTTTGTCTTGCGGCACACTTGGACAACAAAATATGTCAGCTCTCCATACTGCTGTCGTAACAGGACAAAACGGCAACGCTCTTAACAATTACTGCTGAAAGTACCAACCAGTCCTGTGTATTTCACACGGGGCAAAATCACTGCACCAAACCGTCCTCACTGCTTGCACAGGTTGCGCGAGTTGCCACGTCTTTTCGTGTATTTCTTGGTTCCCCTGAAGTCCCAGATATCCCAGACAAAGAATTTACAGGCTACCCTTGAAAAGGGCCGGCGCAAGGCGCCGCGCAAGGACCGATCGCATGGCCGGGGCCGCGCCATCGGCTGGGGCAGCGCGCAGTGCCCCGCTCGCCCAGCGGAGGGGACGGGCGGCCGGGCAGCCGGCCCCGCTCCGCGCCCCGCTGCTCACCCGCGTCCAGCTCCCGGACGGCCCCGCACCTCCTGGACGGTCCCGCACCTCCCGGACGGCGGCCTCGGGGCACCTCCCGGACGGCCCTGCACCTCCCGGACGGACCCGCACCTCCCGGACGGCCCCGCACCTCCCGGACGGTCCCGCACCTCCCGGACGGCCCCGCACCTCCCGGACGGCCCCGCACCTCCCGGACGGCCCCGCACCTCCCGGACAGGCTGCACCTCCCGGACAGGCTGCACCTCCCGGACAGGCTGCACCTCCCGGACGGCCCCGCACCTCTCGGACAGGCTGCACCTCCGCCACCGCTTCCGGCGCTGCCGCCGCGTCAGCGGAACCCCCGCCCTGCCGGGGCCGCCTCCCGTTGGCCGCAGCCTAGCCGGGCGCTGCGCGTCGGCGGAAGCGCGCCGGGATCGGGCAGGGGGGAGCGGGAAGCGGCGAGGAGGGAGCGGGCCGTGATCCCCGAGCAGTCCCGTCGGACCTGCCTGCGCATCCCCCGGTGCCGCGCCGCGGGATGGGCTCCCTCGCGGGCTGAGCCCGCCGAGGCGGGGGCACCGTGCCTGTGGCAGCGCTCGTTTACAGCTCTCTCGCTTCGCGCTTTTGCGGCGTAGGAAGGGACGAAATAAGCGGCTGGTCGTGACAGTGCTGTGGTAAGGGAACCGCAGGGTGATGTTACGACCGAAAGCTTTAGTGCAGCGTGTGGAGGTTCCTGAGCAGTCTGTGGCTCTGCCGCACGTACCGAGCCCTGAAATGGAGTCAAGTCCCTCAGCTGGGGTTTGAGGAGGAAGGGCCGTCACCAACTGAGCTACCCTGCTCTGTCCCTCCTGGGTGAGGTTCTGGGCGAGACCACATGCGATCTAACCAAGCAGCTCTTCTCCCATCTTGGCTATGCTGGAAATCGCTTTAAAAAGACTCTGCTAAGAAAGCGCTTAAGGTGGTCCCTGCTGGTGGTCTGGTGCCCGCTTACTTAATGTCCCTAAGTTTTTGTAGTTAGATTAGTGCACAAGAGTGGTTCAATTCAAACGGATCCTTTTTATGTTCCTCTTTGGCTTGGGCAGACTGTATTCTTTCTTTGCTGCTAGCATTAACTTTATTTACCAGACTCTGATCCTGTTTGATGTTTGCTCTGTGGTATTTAAGTGACTGTGAGATAAAACAGATTATGCTCTGACAGCTTATTCCATGCCCCCTCTGTAGGACAGAATTGTAGCAAGGGGTTAATACCCTTGTCAGGAACCAAGGAGAACATGAGTTTGGTTTCCTCCTTTACCACAGACATTTGATTATAAGCCTGAGCCAAGCTCCTCTGAAACTAATGGTTTGTTGATTTGGGTCTAAACTCTGTTGATGCTTTTAAATCAGGAATAAAATACTGTGCTTTAAGGATCAAGATAGAAGACCTCATATTAGTTGGCCTGAGTGAGCAAGCCTTGAGAAATTTATTCACAAATCATTTATGCTACTTTAATTGATGGAATTATAAATCTGACCTTGCTGCTGTGCACTTAAAGACACAAATTTGTGCTTAAGTTGAAACAATTATGTTAAGTCATGGAAGTATGAGTAAATTTACACTCCACTTGATGCTTCAGAGGCATCTGAACAATTTTGCTGGTGTCCTTATCTGTTCTGGGACAGAGTAGAAAAGCCAGTTACTGAAATTAATCACTACCTTTTCTTGTGATGTCCCCAGCGCTCGTGACAGATGCTGCATTAAGCATATTGGATTCAAGCAAAACATATTCACATGAATATGATCTATTTTTCAGGAGACTTAATCATTGCTGACAGATGGCTCTTGTCAAAGAATGGCTTCTTTTAGTTCAAGTTGTTAGAAAAGACAAAAAAGATTGAATTCAAGAAGTCATTGTAATGAGAGACAACTCTATCCTCAAAGTCAATATGTAAAAATTATGAAGAAGGCATTAATATTACAGAGAGGCTATTACATTAATGAGAATTTTGCTCAGTCCCATGGGGACAATGTACTGGCTTTCAGCTGATGCTTTAAAATTGAGTAACCAGATAATACCTTAAAGATCAGGCAGTAATCCAGGATAAAACAGAAATGTTTTGATTTGTTGGAGAGCTCTAGCAGGATATAGAAGTCAGGCTGTACATGACTCTAAGGTGAGTCTCCTGCAGCAATTAGAAAGCTCAGACGTTGTTTTTTGGTTGGTTTGTTTGGGGTTTTTTTCTTGAGGTAAGGGAATATTTACTGTCTTTTCTTGTCAGCTGAGCAGAGAGACTGGTGATCAAGGAGAAAGAATGTGATGAAAATGTTAAATTTTTATTGGACAGTTCTATGAAGTCAGAAAATTTCTGAAATAGAAGGCCTCTCAGCCTTGTAATGGTGAGTCTCCGGATGACGCATCTCATCTAGAGATTTGACTTAGAGCTTGAACTGGCATTTTTTACTCCTCCCACTAAAAAACATCAGATAGTAAATGGCGATAGCCCTACAGTTACAGTACTCTGTCTTCTATTAAAGTTGTGCCTGTCCAGTGAGCCAGACGTTAAAAAAAAGAAATCTTTGCACAACAGTCCTAAACATTACAAATTGCTAAAAATATTTGGGCAGTTGGAACAGGAAAACTGTTACACTTAAATTTGTTCAGGGGACTAGAAACAAAGTTCAACCTCAACTGTCTGGCAGCCAGCACTCTAGGGTGCAACTCTTACAGCTTGCTTCTGGAAAAAGTAGTGTGTAGCTGTAAATGGTCATTCTGTAGGCTGCCTTCATTAATAATGTCCTAACAACTGAGCTATTAGGCCTGTAGTAATCTCTGTATGATGTATCACCTCCTTTTTGGAGGTTTGCACTGTGGTGCTGTGGAATATTCAAGCTGACTTCTCTCCAGCCATGCTGTTCTCCCCGGCGCCTGCCCATTACAAGGAGAGCTGCTTGATCTCCTGTTACAGGGTGCTCCAGCCCCTCTTGTCATTTAGGCAGAGTGAAATTGCTGTCTTCAGACACTTGAGGGTCACCTCTTCTGTTTTCTCCTCCATTGCTGAATATATTAGCACTGGCAATTTACTATAGCGCAGCATTAAGGTCAATCTTACCAAGTCCTTCTATCTGCTACACATCTGGAAAACTCCACTTCAGACCATCTATTCACATGGAATGTTGCCAAGTCAGTTTGATTAGGCTTGGCAAGGATACTGATGCCAAGCAGAAAGGAATTTGGGATAATGAATCCAGCCTGCAGAACACCAGATGCAATGTGTGGCCTTTATTGAAAATTTATTCTGTTTTCATTTGCTTAACCTTTATGTTTCCATTTTTCCTCATGCCAAAAAAACAGTCTCTGAACACAGAGAACCTCAAAATTCAATCACTTGGAAACTGCCACTCAAATGAATTGTGATATAATAAGCATGTCAGGAGAAAGAAGCAAAACACTTGGATAATCAATACCTATTGGGAATATCAGGTCTTCAGATGGCTGAATCATGAAATGCCTGAAAACATCAGCTGGATTAGAGTATAATATTAGTTATTTTGTTGGCACTTGGTCAAGCAATCTGTTCAGACTAGCTACCCAAGAAGTCCCATAAGAAACTCTGTGCTATAGCAGATGTTGCTTTTAATACTTCAGGCTTTTATCCCATGATCAGCTTTTGTCTACATTTTAAAAATTAGTTGGTCTTGCTGAAGAAATGGCTTGGTCCTCAGTTAGAAATACACTAGAAGTGCCAAGAAGCAGTAATAAGGCTGTAGGAAACTGGACAAGGCGGTAGCAATTGTGTGTAGGTAGTGGATCTGCTGTACTATTTGGTGTGCTCTTTCAAAAGGGCCGTGTTTTGATCTTAAATTTTACTCACTTAGCTCTTGGCCTGAACCATGGCTACAGAATGGATCAAAGAGAATGTTTTACACAGACCTTACATCACTTAAAATTTTGGGAAATGTCCAGATGGGAAGAAAAACATTGGCTGTTCTTTCTCTGGTTAGTTCAGTTACTCTTCACCTAGTATTAGAAGATATGTATGTGGTTATAGCAGTATTTTTTAATTGATTCATTGTTTCCAGACATTCTCAGTTTCAAGACTGTAGAAAAGATTGGAAATTAAAATGGCTTTGAAATTTCCTCGTTTCCTGTGGGGATCAAACTTCTTAATTAGGAGGAGGAAGGGAAGTGCTTCTGTGGGAGAATGCTGTCTTTTGGTCAGCTGTGGAATACGCTTGCGGTTCTAGAGGAGTGTAGAAACCTGAGCAATAGCTACAAGAGGAAATGCATGCTGCTCTAGTGTCTTACTACATTGACTTTAAAATGTATCTCTCTCCCTCCCTGCAATAATTAGGGCTCTGCTTTAGGGAAGCTTTTTTTCCCCTTAACCTGTTTTATGTCAAATGCAACTGAATTGATAATTGTATAAAGAATCAGGTCATGCAGGTACTTGAACAAAGGTCAGTAATTTCACATACATATGGCTCACATACAACAAAAATGTGTTTGGATCAGAAGAGGAGGAAGGAACGTATGTCTTCTGTAGCACATGAAGGGAAACACTAATTTCCATGTAAAACGATGTAAGGAAGATAAAGGGAAATGAGAGCTTTGCTTTTCTGCAACTTTGTCATGGCTGTCTGGGCTAGGTTTGAAATACAACTGAAAGTCTTGGAGCTGTTTTTTAATTGATTTCTCCATTGAATACAGTTTAACTCCTCTCTTTCTTCTGTTATCAGAAAAATGAGTGGTGGGTTGGCACCAAGCAAAAGCACAGTGTATGTGTCCAATTTACCCTTTGCTTTGACAAACAACGATCTGTACAGGGTAAGTTTTAAGAGCTGCATTGTTTAGATTTAATTTGCTGTCAACAATTTTGAGTGTAAAATCAATACTGATATAATATCAGTTTACCGTGATACATTTATTACTAATGAAATGCAATTGTCTGTTGCTAAATCTTTTCATTTTGTTTTATATTTCAGATATTTTCAAAGTATGGGAAAGTTGTCAAGTAAGTGACCTGATATGGCCTTCTATTTTTGTACCTCTCATTTTAAATATTTCATGTCTTTCCTTCACTTGAAAGTCTTGAGCTTTGTATAATTTAAGCATGAATGTAGAACTTTATTGAAGTTCTGTTCATTTTAATAAAGTATAGATTTAATTTAACAACTGGAAGTTCTTGCAGTTATGTTCATAATACAAGAATATTTGTACTGGGGACAGGTTTTGCTAACTATTTCCTAAGAGGAAGTAGAATGTCGTTACATACCATCAGTCTTTTCTCTGAAATAGTTGAAATAGTATTATTCTACTAAGTATTGTTCTCTTTCCCTTGAACACATGTGGGGCACAATGGATAAGTGTAAAAGTGAGAGCTTCTACTTATGTTAATCAGATATCACAGTTCCCACAATTGCAATGTACAGTTCTCTACTTGTGATTCTAGAGGGACTTGTTATTGTGACTGCTTAGAATTTTACCTAAAATTAGATGTAAGGCTGCATTTGAAATCAGTAAGAATTGAAGTTGTGTGGGTTCCCACTCCCTGCCCTGTCTTGTAATTTTTTTTTTTTTTTTTTTTACTGCATCTAGATCCTTTTTGAATTTCTCAATGTGCTATTGAAGCTGTTTATTTCAATGTTAGACTGAAGAATTAACTTCTTATGTCATGTGAAATAACACATGTATCCATAATCCTTGGATTTCAGATGGAGATATTAGCATTTCCTACTGTGAACCTGTTTAGCTGATTAGTCCTACACAAACATAGATTTCTCAGTTTGGATGGAGTTCAATACACTGGTTTTCAGCAATAATAGCAGTGATAAGATTACACCTGAATTTTCCTTTCACTTCCAGTATGTGTAGTTCCTTCCTTCAAGTCATCCAAGGGAATTAGGAATGACACTGTCCCCAGAAATACCCCACATCCTTTTTTAAAATCATCTCCACTCTACCTATAAGCACATGGCTAGGTTAGCGGTTCCTTTGAATTTCTGTTTATTGAGCATTTTTATTGTTAGATATACTTTAACCTTTTTGCTATATAACAAAGCTACAATTCACTGAGATCTTTAAGGAAAAATGTCTCTGAAGTCATTTTAGTGTATCAATAATGCAGTTATTTGTTTCCAGAGTTACTATTATGAAAGACAAAGACACCAGGAAGAGCAAAGGAGTTGCCTTTATTTTATTTTTGGATAAAGAATCTGCACAAAACTGTTCTCGGGCACTTAATAACAAACAGGTAAATTGTGGAAAGTCGTTACGGCAGGAGGGTTGGGTTTACAGTCCCAAAACATTTACCTTTTCTTTCCAATTTTCTGCAGTTGTTTGGAAGAGTAATAAAAGCAAGTATTGCCATTGATAATGGAAGAGCAGCAGAATTCATTCGCAGGCGTAACTACTTTGATAAGTCTAAGTGTTACGAATGTGGGGTGAGTAAAACAAAAAATGTAGAGAAATGGAGAAAAGTTGTGGGTTGAGATAAGAACAGCTTAATAATTGAAATACCATAAAATAGTAGTAATAATAGTAAATGGTAATGAAAATGAAAATAACAGAGAGAAATAAAACCCAAGAAAGGCAAGTGATGCAAATGAAAACAATTGGTCACCACCAACCAATCAATGCCTAGGCAATCCCCAAGCAACAGCCCCGCTGCCAAACTTGCCACTAGTTTTATTGCTGAGCATAACATCATCTGGTCTGGAATATGCCTTGAGTGATTTTGGGTGAGCCATCCTGGCTCTGTGTAACCCCAACCCACTCAGTGCTGAGGGGGGTGAGCAGCAGAAAAGGCCTTGACTCTGTGTAAACTCTGCTCAGCAATAGCTAAAACATCCCCATGTAATCAACACTGTTTCCAGGACAAATCCAAAACTATAGCTAGCCCCATACCAGCTGCTGTGAAGAAGATCAACTATCCCAGACAAAATGAGCCCAGAATCTTAGCTGTTGTCTTCAGTTTGGCCATTGCTCATCCTGCCTGTGCTGTTAAATTTATTTTTTTTTTGTTGATATTATTAACTTACATAGCACATTATGTCATTTTCAGGAATGATGGTACCCCTTCTGTCTTTTATTAGAGATTCTGGGGGTGGGGGGAAAATATGTGCATATTATGGATGCTTAACATGCTGACGAGCAGATAAATCTAAGTGTCAATATAATGCTGCTTGAGAAAGAAAATCTCCTAATCTTTGCTTCAAAATGCCTGCTTTTGCTATATCTTTAGAAGTTCACAATACAGTTGGCAGTAAAATAAGCATTGGAAACAACTGTTTTATGTAGAAGTGAGTTTTAGATTTTAGGCAGTTTCTGACTTTTCCTGAATTTAATAATGTAGGACATTGAGATTTGGAAAGTATTTAATGTCTAATACAAACTTGATTTATATTCATAACAGCAAAAATGTTGTCTCACTCCTGTGTCTTAACTTGTTAATTCTGAGGTTTCTATCTTGCATATAAACCGTGTGCAGTATATTCAGGTATTGCAGCAGGCAAAGAAATCTTTTGTGTTCATGGCTTGTTCTTAGTTTGCAGTTAAACGTGCATATCACCAACAATCTCCTAATTTCCATGGCAAGCTTATAGGGAGGAGTTTGTCTTCTGTGTGCTATTTCAGCATTCCATTTATCCTACTAATTGCTTCCATTTTTTATTCCGTGAACTGTCTTATATTAACTTCCCTCATGATATGTTTTAACATATAGTTGTTTGTAATGGTTTCTCTTAAGCAATATTTCATTTTCTCCAAGGAAGCAGGACACTTAAGTTATGCTTGTCCTAAGAATATGCTAGGAGAGCGGGAGCCACCGAAGAAAAAAGAAAAGAAGAAGAGAAAGAAAATAGTTGAGCCAGAAGAAATGTACGTATATTTAGTTACATGTTACTACTTCTTTTAGGAAGCTTTCTCATGCTAAACACTTAAACTAAAGAACTTTTATTCTTTTTCTCTCTGCACAATGAAGTGAGGAGGAAGGAGAAAGTGAAGAGGAAGGAGAAGACCCTGCTCTGGATAGCCTCAGCCAAGCCATAGCTTTTCAGGTACAAAATTGAAGCATTGCATATTTATTATTATTTTTTAAATGCAACTGTATTTCCTTCTTCAGTTGCTTTTCAAAAGCCCTGAGATACATACATAGGTATGTCTGCTCTATAGCACTCAGGGGCCTCTTGTTTGGCAGCAATAGTTGGTAACTGTAGTTGCATCTTCACATTGCAGGCATGTTCAGTGGGATCTTGTTTGGGTTTTCTGCACTTTCATTATTGCTGGTTTATGTGTATTTATTTTGTCTTATTGTTGCAGCTTTTTATTTCCTTCAAGCTCCTTTGCTACTTAGTTTTCTCTCATCTCTGTTGCAGTTCCCTGCTAGATTTCTGTTCACAAATCCCTCTTTACTTTGTTAACTGAGCAGATGGGAAAACACAGTTATGTACGAATGACTGTACACATCCTCTAACCTCACTGGATTATCCTTGAACAACATCTCTTTCTGGGGCACTTCCTTTGCCTAGTACAGTCCATTGCAGTCTCTAATAGACTCATCTCTCAAAACATATTGAATGCATATTTTATTATATAGATAGATTGTCTGACATCTGTATTACTGCCTTTATTACTTGTTTACACACTTTTGCTTCACTATGCTGAGCAAGCCTGACCTGGTATCAAATTTCTTGGCTCCCTAGTCAACAGCTGTTCCCTGTGTGCTGTCCCCAAAAAAACCCTCAGGAGTTATTAGCACAACTTTGTTCTGAATCAGACCGTAATGAGTGCAGAATTTTTACATGATATAGTCCAAAAAATTAATTCAAATATGCGCAATTATCCCCCCTTTCCCCCAAAACTCCACAATTGAAAATAAAACCTATAAAGCCAAGAAATACTCCCATATCTCTCACCATCCAAAAATTTTATCTGGTAAAAATAGGAAGCTTCTGTTTAAACCTTTAGCTGAATAACCTTCAGTAATAATCCCTAAAGGCGTTCATTATGTGAATGAATGACTGCAAAGGACAACTGTTAGAAGACTTGTTAGTGGAACAAAGCTGATTCAATAATGTCAGTTTAAAACATGAGGCATTCTTTGCTTCAGATCTCAGCTGCTCTATAGTTTTTTTGCCCATGGCAAAATTCCTCTTTTTGAAAATACGGGATACTCCATGTGGCCTGCATTGGTGTAGAAGACTGCGTGTAAAAAGTACTTTCAGAAATGTTTCCTAGTGCATTGATCAAACAGTTTACCTGGAAATGTAGATAAACCCTTGTCATTTTCTAACTTATTTAATGATTCAATGTGTATGAATAATTAGCATTATTATTTGTAATACATCTTAATTTTATTTAGTCCTAGCTAATACTTTTCCTTCTTTCATTGTAGCAAGCCAAAATTGAGGAAGAACAGCAACGATGGACACAGACTGCAGGGGAATCTTCAATTTCAGATGATTCAAAACGTCCTCGGATTAAGAAAAGTGCTTATTTCAGTGATGAGGAAGAACTTAGTGATTGAAATAATACTATTCTATATGTATATATAATATATGTAGTGTACCTTTTGTAAAGTGATACAAAGTGATCTGTAATATAGGTTTGTTTTGGTGTTAAAGACACTGAAAATCCTTTTGTATTTTTATTCTGTCCTCTCACCTTCCTGTCTTTTTATACCTTTGTCTCAAAACTTCACCTTTCAAGGCGGCTTCTTAAGAAAATGGTGTGTTCCTACACTTAAATCCAGAAGAGTATCTTTGAGAATTCTTCTTACAGTTACTGTCTAGACCCAAACCCTGGAAGTGAAATCTTTCCTAAGAGAATTTCCCACAACTTTTTTCCCAAGAGGATTCCTCTTAGGATGACTGTTACCACCACTGATTCTTTATGTATTGGTCTGTTTATTACCTGTTTGGAAGCAGGAGGCTTTAGCAGTACTTTAGTGGATTATGAATCTTGCACTGTTCCTCTTCATAGTGTTAAATTTCAGCTTTAAGCATTGTACTAGTCTTTTAACTCCTCAGGCAATAGATGATAAATTACTGTCACATCAGCACTGTTTCTCCTGACTGCAGTTTGGGTGCCTAACATGGTAATTATGGTTATCCATGGGGTTTTAAATATACTTGTATCTAACCTGGGTCAGAGTTCTGTGTTCACAACCATCTAAACGTGTTGGTAAAATGCAAAAGGCACAAAGTTTCCTACATACTTTAATTAGCTTTGATGTATACTTGGAACCATCATGGTCTCTAAGCAAAGTGCATCGGTACCTAGTTTGCACATAAAGCTGTGAAGACCTTTTAAATAGTGTCTCCATTCTTACCTCCCTAGGGTTCTAGTCATGTTCTCCTGTATCAGTGATTATTCCCAAAACCACAGACACATGGTGGTAACTGTTTAAAAAGTCTAAACTTTTCACTTTTAGAAAGCACAACGTTAAATATATTCACACTTGGAAGAAGAGATGAGCTGTCCTCTTTTTCTATTTTCAGTTCTTCCTGTTTAACCATCAGGACTTGATTTTCTTCCAAATATTCAATTATCTGTTCTTAATATTAATTTACATTCAAATACATAAGGTGCAAAGCAAAGAAACGCACACACACACACTCTCTAAGATAGCGTAGTCTCATTCAGAAGGTCATTCTTGTCCTTGTTTTGCTCCATAAACACAAGAATTCAGAAACAAGAATAAGGCAATAAAAGATTTTTCTCTACAAGCTACTCAAGCCATCGTAATAAGGAGGAATATTGGGTTCTAGACATAGGAAGGTCTTGGACTCAGTAATCAAAGAAATGTTTTTAAGACTGACTTTTTGCTGAAAGTACTATATATTAAATCTGAGGCTTCCTTTACTGAATTTTGGAAGATCTTTTGATACTGAATAGCAGAGTGCTCAAGTGCCAGGCGTAACTTCATAATAATAAATGCAAATCACTCTACATTGTGTATGTAAGAATGAAGCCTGAGGAGTTCTAAACTGAGCTAAGGAAGAAAGTCTTGCTGCCAGCGTACTTCTCTGCAAGTGCTAGGTTAGGGCCCAGTGACAATCAAAAAAAAAAAGAAGAAAGCGAAACAAGCAAAAATATTGGGCCACTACCTAAAATTGGAGTTTGTCTTCAAGTACCATATTCAATGCTGTTTTTAAAAAAAGATAGAAAACTAAAATGTGACAGAGGACCAGTTTGACATTGTCCATGACTTTGGTTTGGGAATATTTGGTAGCTTGTAAGAGTTAAGATTTCAGTGAAGTGATTAGGCAGCAAGTTTCAAGCTTGTATTTCATTACACTATATAATGTAATAGTGGAACTTACTGCTAGGAGACTTAACGGTCATGCAGTCAAAAGGATTAGACTTGTATGTGAAACAGATTTTCAGATGTTGGTTTTAATAAAGTCTCCACTCAGAAATATCCTCACTTGCTGGCTACCTCTAATAGTTAAAATATATAGAGGTATTAACGTAGTCTAGAAATGTATTGTTCTTGCACACGTTACTGTTTCATATTTGCTACTGGTGTCTTGTCAGAAAGCATAAAACCCAAACCGGAGCCTTATTCTGACCTAATAAAGTACTTTTTCAAGAGTTGCAATAGCTGAAGCGAGTTGATATATCTTTCTATTCTGCTGCTCCTGCCTCACTGCTTTCCCAGTAGGATTTGCTCTTGTCAGCATGAAGCAGTAGCTCAGTCCAGACTATTACAACTGACCCAGTGTTGTTCCTCCATGCTCTTTTGTTGCAAGCATAAAATCACTTGAGGTAGGTGACATTGGAAGAGAAAAATAAAAACGAGCCTGCTTCTGTGCATAATGGGCATCTAGAATTCCTTACCTTAAATCATCTTGCTGTAACAATTTTCTTAACTCTGAACTTTTATAAGCAGTGCTTATAGTTTTTTCCTTAGAGTCAGGGTAAAGAAGAATACACGTAATGCCTAAATCATGATCTAGAGGGACTTGGGACGAATCAGATTTATGCACTTCACCTTCTGAATAATTTTAAATGTCTTTTCTTTATTAGTAAGATAAAAAAGCATTTCTAGGTGAACACTAACCTAGAGCACTAACATTGGATAACCATTAAGTTAGATAGTGTGAGTACCTGTTCTGCTTGCTTAAATCCAAAATTGTTTTTGGCAGGAGCCCTGATGCAGCTGCCTCATTCTGAAAAAAAGGCCAGAATTTGTCAATGAAGTCTTCTTCTGATCTTTGAACGTGGAGAGGTTTGCTCCTGTTCATGTCCACCATCACCTACTGTAAGCAGCGTGGCTTCAGGTGGCCATCTGAGTCCCATCAGCACTGAGGAGCAAGGGGGACTGTTAACTAGGCTCCTGATTTAGATCAGGCCAATAGGGTGCAATTATTTTGCAAAGCTTCAGCAAGAGTGGTGCTTTTGCCAGTTTGGTATCATAAAACACCAACTCCAGAAACAGAAAACTGTTGGTGGGTGTATGGCTCTGGGCCACACAAGGTGAGATTGTGTAGCCTTGTTATCAAAAGAAGAATAAAAATCACCTTGCAGAACACCTTCCTGTTAGAAAAACCACACGATTGTCTTCTGAGGGGGTTGTGTGTAGGAGGTGTGATGGTTTGGGGTTATTTTTAGTAATTTGAGGAGTTAGCTTAGGCTAGCAAGCTGACGGCTAGTTTTAGAGTAGAGATAATATGGCTTTCATTAGTAGCAGACTTTTTTTTCTAATAATATCAAAAACATGTATCTTTCTGCAAACATCCACTTATTAGATTTCGTCTTTCATAGTTTCCAAACAGCTTGAAAATTGTCAAAATGTGTTCTGGGTCATAGGATCTCTTGTCTGTTGAATGGCTAACAGAGTAGTGTCTCAAAAGCCGCTAGGAGATGCCTTTTATCTGTCCTTGTGGAAGAAGGGGCTATGGAAGTGAGATAAGGATGATTACCTTAACTGAATATAAATGGTATTACTCACACTGTGCCTTTGCAGCACTTGTTAAAACCATTGCAGCTATGAGGCACAGGAGTAAATTTAGTCCGTGTTTAGCAGGCTCCCCCTATGTTCTTGGCATATTCAGATTACTACTCTCAACAGAGCAATAGAAGGGACTGCAAATACCAAGAACTGGTTGTAGCTAAATAGATGATGTCTGGAACAAACTGTAAACACTTTGGCTTCTGGGTCATTGTGTTCTCTGGGATAGCCCTTTAATCTGCAGAGATGACTTACTGTAGCATGGGAAGGTGAGCTGCACCTAGCAGACTGTCTAGCTGTAGTCTTCTGAGGCAAAAATTGTTAAATTGCTTAGAAAAGCTAGATGTAAAATGGGATATTTTAAAATGCCATTTATGAAGTGCTACTATATGCACTTCTATTTTGCATCTGCAGTATGTTTATATATTCTGTCACTATCCCACCATTGCTATTCTATAAAAATATTTCAAATAATATTCTTCCAAATGTGCTATCTTAACTGGTATTGGATCTTGCTTCTTTTTAGTATAAATTACAAACCCATTTTTAGATATCCTTTACTCAGCAGCTTTGTTTATCTTAACAGAGTGAGGGGTTTTTTTTCTGTTGCTGTTGAAGGCAATATTAAAAATTACTACACTGTTCCTTCTTTAGAGAAAAAGATGTAAAATGGAGAGTTTAGTCACTTTTAACACACATGACCTTGTTTTTTGTATCTATTCTGGTATCTGTAAAACATACCCTAGTAAAGGAATAAGCTGAGACTCTCCATGTAAAAAAAAGCAATACTTCTTAAGCTGAAGAATTGTACAGGTTTGAGAAACAAACCTCCATCATTGTCAGGCTAACCTTGACCCTGCTGTGCGTTCACACAGACAAGGTGTGTGTTTATGCATGTATTTTATGGATGTGATGGGTAATACAGCAAGCAGAGGGTTACAGAACTTGTGGCAGTAGAATGTGATAAAAGGGTGTGAAACATTTAACCAACTCAGTAAGGCAATGTAGGTCACAGTGGCTTGAAGAAATACCACAGTTACTAATCTGAGAAGTTTCCTGTCTGATGAATAGAATGCTCCAGAGAATCAAAAGCAACTCTGAGGTTTTAAGTTCATCAAACGCAACAGCCACAAACCTCCATCAAGATGAGCTAATCCATGGAAATTCAGTTTTATCAATGTGCAGTTACAGGGAATTAGAAGGCATCCAAATTTAGATACTGCAACAAGCTCAGTGCAGTACAGCAAAAAATGTCACTTGGTTGCAGGAGTAAAGATGCATTATTTTAACCGTGTATGTGGAGGCAGAGCATGTAGATGTGTTCTGCTCAAAAAATAGATGTGGATATGGAAGAAGGAGAGACCCAAAATAGAACCAAAAGGGATATTAAGGACTCTGTGGCTATGCTGTGAAGTTCTAAGGCGCTGAACTGTATTTTTAGAGTGGGATAGAACTGGTTGTACTGTGTTTGCTTAACTGAAGAATGAGTGTCTTATGTCTGAAAATTATAAACCTTTTGATAGTACAAGTTTGTACTGATGTTCAAATGCTCAAGAAAATGAGATGAACTAAAGGAAGATACAGTTCTACAAAGACCCTCACTTGGGATGTCTTTGATGTATGAATTTGATTAGGTGGCAAACAGCCATCTGCCCATGAAGCCTGGAGCCATGAGGGTGCATATAAAATTAAATGCCTGAGCAGCCTGTGGCAGTTAGGAAAGATGAGAACATGCAGTACTTAGATGTGATGGTTTTGAGTTCATGAACCTTGTATCTGGAATGAGTGATTGTAGTGCTCGATATTACGTTCTTTCAAAGAAAGTTTTTGAAGATTCATCAGCTAGATTTATTTTTATTTGCTGCAGCATAACATTTTTAAGGAGTGTTTTTACTGTGGGAGGCTTTCAGAGGAAAAGCTTAACAGAGGAAACTCAATTAATTAAAATCTGTAACACAGTTCTGCAGCAAGGGTGGATTCTCTGTGAGTCCCATGCTTGTGGTATCCTGGAGAATGCAGGGCCCCAGGGCCTTATTCATGTTCATATTTAATTTAGCTGAAACTGCTGGAGAATGTCCAGAATCCTCTCTTCATTTGCTGCACAATTTAGGTCAAGCCCATAACAAAGTACTTGAGTTCAGGACAAAGTAGCCCTTGCAAAACTTTCACTTTTTTTCACTCTTATGTTATTTGTTCTAGGGTGGTGGGTTTTTTTCTGTATTGCACACCTTTGAAATGGCAAACTGGTTGACAGGAAGTTACTTAGTTCCCTTCATTTTAATGTGGTAGGAGCAGTGCACACAGATTGCTCTGCTGCTTTAAAGAAGGGGCAAGGAGTAATTATTGTAACAGCATTCTCTGGATGCTATTTCACTGCTTCCAGTGGCTGGGAGCCAGAGAAGGAGGGAAGGAGGCAGACAGGACAAAGAATGAGTAAGCCAAATTTCCATCCAGAATAAGTGTACATGAGTTACACTAAACATTTTCAAGTTTCTCTCTACAAATTCTCCTCCTAACTGTAATTTAGATCAGAGTTTCTGTGGATAAAATTTATGTGTCTGTCTGGATTACATAGGTGTAATAGGTCTAACTGCAAAGACTTTATTTCAGTCACATAGAAGTATAACTTGGATTATATTAATTCAAATGAAAGTTACTACATTTTCATGTTAAGTTATCTTCATGCTTTAACTGGCTTCTCCTGGGGTGCAATGACACCTGTCTGATAGAAGAACTACTTTTATAAACTATTTTTATGTAGGTGTTATATTTAAATAGATTCTGAGATGAGAGGCTTGAATGCAGACAACACAGTAGCTCTGTGGAAATTAACAAGATATATTCTTGGTAGGAGAGGAAGGAGAACTTCAGAAGTGAGAAAAAAAACAAGGCAAATAGCAGGTGAGACTGAGAATATTGGTAATGCACAGTTCAGAATAAGGGACAAAAGGGAGCAAAATAGTTTACTAAAAATCAACACACACAATCACCTGTAGCATTAATCCCCCTCTATTTAAAGAAGGCTCTTACAGGAAATGAGTGATTTTGCATGTTGCAGTGAAGGCTTGTTTTTCACACTGAACTCAGTTATCTGATTTTCTCAGGTGCTAGACTTCACAGCAATATGGCAAACGTGGATACAGCTCAGCTTTTTTTGACAACAAAAGCCACAAATGACTTCCCAGTCCATCTTTTGTGTCAGCAGTTATTGTTCAAGAGCACTTTAGCCAATAACCAATAATAAACTTGTAAGAGCTAATGATGTTTCTGAAAGCTAGTGTCTCTTAAACTCACTTCCCATCTCTCCTGTCCCTCCTTCCCCCATGGGATTGTCATTGTTCAGAATTTTCTCCAATTTTTCCAACTGTCTGGATGACAAAGTTGTCCTGTCTCTATTCATTTCTCCATTGATATGATTTATGCTGAGGGTTTTTTCCTTATTCATAACATGCTGTTTGTTTTTCTGCTTATGATAGTTTCCTCCCTAGATTCTTTACTCTCAGATGGAGGGATTTCTGTTTTATGGCTTCTTATCTGTTGATATCCAGTCTACAGACCAGCTTCATGATATCTCATTGTAACTGTACTTTACCTGCACGATGTTTTCAAAAAAACCAATGTTGCTTTCCAGCTATGCCATTCATTTA